GGACAACGACGAAACATACTTGAAGTAAAATCATAATTGTAATAATCTATGATGTCTTTTCAAGATGCTTTATATTCGTCCCCATCTAAACCTATAAATATAACATTGTACTTAGCAAAATTATTCCGCATACACTTTAACAAATGTGGAGGATCATATAAAGGTACAATCTCATGGCCATCTATTTCAAAAAACAGTTTAATCCAGTGAAGGTTTTTTGTTTTATAATACTCTTCTATATCATTTAAAAGCCTGCTTTACAATTTGCCGCATATTGGTCGCATATAAAAAACCAATGCAAAAGCAAGATAAGATGCCGAAATGGTTCAGAAAAACACTCTCATGAAAATTGCCATATCGTATCATACTTTATATGTGCAGTATGCCATGGAAACCATCAAGCAAATGACAAAGAATGCAATTTTTTTATAGTAAATAAAGAAATAAAACGAAATGTTGGCACTACATAATATATTTTATCTTGAAGATAAAAACATGATGTGGAAAAGAGGATATGCTGAGGCAGCTAAGATCAACCCGTACAATCCGGGTCGCAAACTGTGGCAACAACCTTTAAACCAATACTAAATAACTTTTTTGCCACATCAACAATAAGAGATTTTAAATCAGAACTATTTACTCCACCTTCGGAAAAGTAGAAAGCAACTGGTTGCTTTCAACGATCCTTTATTCCTTTTATCATGAAAACAAGTGCATGATGTGCAAATAAACTTTTTCTGCCATTCGCTAGTTTTACAAAACCGACAATGTGATCCTTTTTACGATCATATGACAATTCTGAAGATAGTGATATTTCATCAAACATCAAAACACAGTATTTGCTACTCTCATACTTTTTATGAGAAATAGCTGAACCTATTATATTAAAAAGACACTCATTAATACTGCTATACAAAGGTATCTCTGAAAGCAACTTCCTCAATGTTTGAAGAGATGGCAAAATAAATATTTGTCTCCAAAAATGATAAGCCTTTGGAGACTTTTCATACAGATTTAAAGCAAGAATTTTGTCTTTGTCTGTAAATTTTCTTCCTTTCGGATTTTTAGTATGCTCTCTTAATGAAGACAATATAAAATTACTTGCCCCAATATTAAATGTTTCTGGAATATTTGAAAACATTTCAGAACATTGTATACTCTGTTGCAATTTATCCCTTAAATTGTTGCATTGTTTATTAATCCTTCTTACCTCCCGGAACAAAATTTTTGATGTATCATACATCTTACATCTTCTGGGTGTCAAGGCATTCCTACGCTTAATCACTGCATTCTGCAGCAATTTGCAGCTACCCTCGAAGCCTTCTATTAAACATAATAGAATGTTATAATATCATAGTTGATGAATTAATTATTAACTTCCTGTATAGTTAAAGTAATGGGCCAAAAATCGAAAATGAAAATTTTTGCATTTCTCGACGTTTTGAAGGTTTCTGAACATTTTGGCATACCTCAGAAAAATGGTTGTGTGTGCGTGTGTGTTTTGTATGTCCGCATTTTTTCGTCCACGTTTTCGGGCGCACGGATCTACCGATTTGAATAGTTTAAAAAAACATTCGATCCCTATTGATAGGGAAATGTGCTGATTAGTTTTTGGCAAAGGCAGGTCCTGCCATTTCGAAGATACAGAGCTAAATGTGAAAAAAAATTGCAGTTTTTGAGTGAACTAAGCGTCCGATTTGAATGATTCTAAAAAACTTTCTGCTTGTATTGACAAAACAATTGCTTTTGAGGGTAAAAAACATCATTTTTTTTAATTTTCCATAAACTATTTTTGTAATTTTGGATTCAAAAAATTACCCAGGCTAAGCGCCACTCTAGTACAAATGTTTATCCAAGTGCGTTCAGACTGTTTATAAACTGGAACACTTTTCCAAATTTGTGAAAACTATTGAAAAATGTGAAAATTCCGCCAAGCTAAGCACAGTATAGTAAAAATGTCGCACAGAATTATTTGCAAATGCGTTTAGACTATGACTATACGGGAGCACTTTTTCAATTTTGTGTAAATTAGGCAACTATTGAAGTAAAACTTCTTTAGGCGCGATATGGGTGTAAAAATTTCTGTAGGCGCGACACGGGTGTAAATCCGTACAAATGCAACGAAAACACCAACGTGAAGTTGAACACTACGACGCTGTAAGCGCTGATGTCGCGAGTCGCGATCCACTCCCGTCATGTCACGCGTAAGTCGAACGCTAAACCCGCTAAACCCTATATGAACTTGCATTAATTGAATCACGTTTTTTTACAAAAGAAGAGGTTGCTGTATTATGTCCTCATGGAATAAGACATTTCTTAGAGAATAAATGTGTCATGGAATATAATAAATTTATATTGAATCTCGTTGAAGACAAAATAATATCTACTGCCACGGATATTTATGTAGGTTGCCATGCGACAGATCAACAATCATACATTCGTCAGCAGTTTCACAAAAATCGGTTATTGATACCGGAGGTTTGCCGTATGAAATAATTTCAGTTCTGAATAAATTTTACATAATAACAACTAATATTGATGTAAGTGATGGCTTAGCTAATGGTTGTGTAGGAAAATTAGTGTACATAGAACGTGGCGATAATGATGAACTTCTACGTTTATGGTTTGAATTTTCTGGTAAGATAGGTAACAAAATTAGGAAGAAAGCTGCACATCATATTCAAACTCTTAATATCAGTAGGTCAGCTGTGCCGATTCTCAGGAGATCTTTATCTATTCCAATGAATAGAAATAAAATCATATTTGCCAAAAGAAATCATTTTCCTTTAGTGTCTGCTTGTGCACTCACAATACACAAATCACAAGGTGGTACTTTTGATGAAATTGTATATGAATACAATAAAACACATAATCAGCAGCTTCTATATGTTGCATTATCACGAGTTACCAGCATTAATGGATTGTTCATCATTTCTAAAACAACGACAAAAAATTTTATCATGGAAGAAAACGGCCAGCAGGATTAATGGACTTACAAACTGAATTCCAAAGACTTTCAACTTGTAGATTAATAACACAAGAAAAAAAATTGAGTGAGAATAAGTTTGAACGACATTTCATTGTTTTCCTTTAACTGCCAAAGTTTACGAGCTCATTTGCCTGATCTGCAAGATAAAGTGCTACAACGTTGTACGTTTTTGTTATTTTCGGAAACTTGGATTAATAATGAAGAACGAATTGATATTCAGAACTATTACTGCGTTACTCAATACAAACGATCAAACTCAAGAGCAGGTGGTGTAGCTGTCTATCATTCATGTTCAGATACTGTTCATAATGCCACTCCTACAGTTACTGGAATATTACTGGATATTCCTAATGAAATTACACAAGTAGGTGATATTGCAGTTGTCCGCTGTGTGAACACTCAGAATCAAACATTAATTATAGTCGTCCTTTAAATTTCTCCCAATAAAAACGTATCAAATATTATTAAATTTCTTCATCAGCAGTTACTTCATTTTTCTAATGAGGGTGCAAAACTTTTAAACACTAATCACAACGAGATACCATTAATTCTTGCTGGAGATTTCAATGTCAATTTTCGTTCAGAAGAATCTCAACCATTAATTGATTTTTTAAATAATAAATTTAATTTAACAATGAATAATTCTCCATTTGAATCAACCACAAGATATGGCACGACTATTGATGCAGTTTTCTCCAGAAATGTACATAGTTTACAAAGCAAAATTTATGTCTCTCATTTCAGTTATCACAAACCTATTATATCATATATGAAATATGATAGCAATTAATCTATCGCTGTTGTTTTAAACTGTGTTATTGATGTTATGTGATTATTAATAAATGATTTTTAAAATTCAAATATGATGTTTTTTTATTTTTATCTTAATTGCCTACTCATACAATATTAAAAGTTTTACTTCAATCGCGTGTGATCCTTACGCGCACTCTTTTTTTTTTGAAATTGAATTCGAAATAAAATGACGATTGTTAATGTCTGGACATAAATTGATTTATGATTTACATTTGATTTGCTCAGATATAACAAGATAGCAAAAATAATGGGAGTTACAGTATTTGTAATAATAAATTTGAAAACGTTTAAAATTTCTCGAATAATTCATTACGGTACGGGAAGTTCCAGCAATTTGCCTTAAGACACGATGCCATACACCACTAGTTATTGCTGCAATTATTATAAAAAATATCTTTGCGGGAAACTGGTGACTGTTTCAACCCGCACTTGACAATCTTTGGGGTACTGCAAAAAATTTTGTTTGCAGCATAGATAAGTAAACACATGGTTTGCAGTTTGTATGTAAAAAGTTCTAATAAATTAAACGCTGTAGTTTTTGAATGGTGCCCATTTTGAAATGCTTGTTCAATTATAATAGCCATAGCGACTATCCATGATACCATGACATCCATGATAAATGAAAAGTACCGAGTGTTGTCACACCTGATCTCTATCTTATGCGAAGTGAGACTCAAATCATCAACGAAATCAAATGTCAAAGTCAAAACGAATTAATAGATATATGTATATTAAAACATATTTATCATTGATGCAAAGCATATAAATTGAAAGCTTTCTTCAACTTTTTATAAATTACTGTTTGTTTGTTTATAAACAAACGACTAGCGCCGAAAATGTTCGAAGAAACAATTTCAAACCCAATAATTAAAACTGAACCAAAGGAATATTCTCCAGTTAAACAAGAACTTGATGATTATGACATCACTCCAGAAACATATTTAGAAAACGAGGTAAAATATTTACAGCAATTTTCAGAATTTGAGATAAAAATAAATCAAAAAATAAAACAAGAAATAGTTGATGATCAAGATGAAACAAGTTTTGGCGAGGGATCATACACAGAAAACGAAGAAATAAATCAACAGCGATTTTTAAACTCTGATGACACTATAGATAAAGAAATCAAGAAAGAAACAATTGATGATCAAGATGAAGCTCGTTTCGATGAGAATTCTTACACGGGAAATGAAGAAATATGTCTACAGCGATTTTAAAATCTGGAGTAACAATTGATGAAGAAGTTAAGCATGAACCGATTGATGAGCATGTTGCAGACACCAGTAAAAACAAAAATATTGATAATGTCGGTAAGTCAAGTGATTTAGTGGATAATATAAATGAATGCAATAAATCATTTAAAAAAGTTTTAGGAAAACGTAAAACTACCCTAAATGTGAAACAACCCTTGAAATGTAAAATTTGCAATAAACATTTTTCAACAATTAGCACCTTACGTCGACATAAAATGATTCATACAGGAGAACGTCCTTACAAATGTGAAACCTGTAATAAAGCATTTATAACAAATCATGAATTAATTCAACATAAAAGGAATCATACAGGAGAACGTCCTTACAAATGCAAAATATGTAATAAAGCATTCATAGCAAAAGAAACATTAAACCGACATTTAATGATTCATACTGGAGAACGACCACATAAATGCTTAATATGCAGTAAAGCATTTACAACACACAGCAAATTGAAACAACATTATTTTGTCCATACTAAAGAAAGTAAACATAAATGTGCAGTATGTAAAAAAACATTCGCAAATAAACAAAATTTAAATCACCATGAAATGATCCACACTGGTGAGCTTCCTCATAAGTGTGCATTATGCAATAAATCATTCACAATTAAAGAAATATTAAACCGACATCTAATGATTCATACTGGAGAACGACCACATAAATGCAAGATATGCAATAAAGCATTCAAATTAAACAACATTTAAAACAACATGAATTTATCCACACGAGAGAAAGCAATCATTAATGAGCCACATGCAATGAAACATTCGCAACTACACAACCAATTAAACCAACATAAAACTGTTCATACTGTCAAATATGTAGTAAGACATTAAAATCTAAACATGGATTAAAATGCCATTCAAAACAAAACAATCATGAGAGCTGATAAAAGTATGCCGATAAAATAGTTTGGCAGATGAATTTATAATAGAGGATTAAATTTTCATAATTTTAAACACAGTAAGACATTATAATTATAAATAGCAGACGTTCTCATTAGTGTAGAACACTTTGGTAAATATTGTTTATAAAATATCTTTGTAAATATTGTGTTGACTAATAAAAATATAATATTTAACGATATATTATCACCAAATTGTTTACTGTCAGAAGTTGT